CTCCCCCCCCCCCCCCCGTCCCACCACTATCCAGCTTGAAGAAATTAGGTCATTGCCGAGTTACCTTGTGCCTCTGTTTCAAAATGAGTCCTCATGCAAAACCTTTCTTATGAAAATGAGTTTGATTTGCACGAGAATGAACCTGTAGGTGCAACACTGTTCCATATAAATGGTTTCGCACAAAGACTTGTTTCAACACTGAGGCAATAGGCAACTCAGAAATGGCCTTTTTCTGTGGCATCTCACTTCTGATAACCTGTGTTACTGGTCTGATAACCTGTGTAGCCCATGTTACTGGATCCCTTCCCTGAAGAATAAAATTAGAGACTTTTTTGTTTCAGGGAGGCTTGCTGCAACACAGACTAATAATTATTTATTTCGGGAAGCAAGGCACATAAATCTGTACAGAGTAGCTTCCCCATCATGACTTGGGGTGGGAGAGGCATCATTTTAATGTTGTTCTCCCTGATAAGCTCAATGTCAGAACAGATGGAGAAAATACACTTCACTTTCCAAGATGACAATTTTGAGATAATTTACTTGTAATTTTTCAATAGCTTACAGGTTTGACATATTACTTTTAATGGCTTTACAATTGAATTTTTGGTTTGTCCACTATTTGGCCTTGCAAGCAAAGCTGCGTAAATATACAAAATTCTGCAGATGAAATCATTGCATCTTCTAATGTGCAAGTCCAGCTCACATAAATAGTTATAAATTTTGCATTTGCTGAGCTGTTTAGAACAGCTTAAACTGAATACAAAACAACAAACACTGATGCACGCTCTCGGAACGCTTTTCCCGTAAATTAATTGCTGCAAAAATTGCATAGCTTTCAAAATACCGCAGTTTGAATTGGGTCAAAGTTGCAAATTCGACAATGCGTAGTCTTTCAAAGTTTTTCTTTTTTTCTTTATCGAAAGCTGCTTAAAGCTAACTTTCTCTTGATGCGCTGGGGATCAACATTTCTGACCCCTTTCTGGTTGGTTTTGAACTGTTCGACACGTACATTGGTTGCCTTCAACAGGTCAAGGCGAAGACTGCTTCCATTTCGCTTGTCTCCGGAACTATCCGGCGTCCTCGCAGAATTCTTTTCGTCATTGTTCGACTCCTTTTTGGCCTCGGGGGTGTTGCTTGATACTTCTTCTTTTTCCTTTCTTTCACTTTCTTCTGGACACGGAAAAATTAGGCGTTTTCTGATTTTCGAATGCGAATGTGCTCTTGCGCCAGCGCCAGATGGAAGATTTGCTGAAATCACCCTTCGATGCAAGCGCTTCTTCTTCGGCGCCCATAAAATATGCTCCGCGAAGGCCGGGCTGTCCTCCATGGGTGGGGTAACTTGTGCAGTCGATACACATCCCTCCATTTTTCTTAAAGAGCTGTAACAAGGACTTGCTTGGCTCGGTTGAAGTAACAATACTCCAATATCACAATACTACTGCTGAAAGCCTTTCTTGTTCAATTGAATGACGGCGGTGAGCAAAACAAATTTTAGCGCGTGTTTAGACTTGCCGCGTCCTAAGCGAAGCTCTGATTGGTTAACTGATGTTACGTTGTCATGACATTGCCCAATCAGATCGCTAAAACGATGACATAACCTCTGTTCTCTTTCACTGCTGGCTCTTACAGCATGGTTAAATGGCGGACGAAAAAGACTTGTCGTAATTTTTGCCTTTGAATGGTTTATTTTCGCATTTTGTCAGAGAATAATTCGTTAGTTGTTATCATTACTATATATGATGGCCAAAAAGAAATCGTCAATATTGTCAAAGGGTAAGCCGAGTAAGAACTTCCAGCAGAAAAGGAACAAGAAAGGAGGGAAAACGACGCCACAAAATCTCAGGAGAAAGAAGGCTAGAGATAAGGAGACTGATGATGAGGTATCGAAATATATTTAATAGAATCAAGTAAGGAAAACACCATTCGTCGATCCATCAGTTTTAAACTACGATGTACGCTTCTCCTTGTATAAGTGAGCTTATTTGTAACCTTGCATACCCCGTTAGAGGCTCCGAAACTTTTCCATTTCAGACCATGTCATGTTCTCTAGGGAATCGTTCTTTTATCCATTTAAAATATTCATTTATATAAGCACGACTATTTGAAAATTTGAAAGCGAGAATTCTTAAGAGTATCATCACATGGTCTGAAAAGGGAAAACAAACCGCTCAGGCTGAAATGACCTGTTCTGGTTGGATTTGGGAGACCTACAGTGGAAAATTATATTAAACAATTAGATCTGAGCTGGAGATTTCTATCACGTGATAGTTGACGAGGGCACAGCCTGAGTCAACTATCATGCATAGAAATATCGAGTTCATAATTTAATTATTTTAATATAAATCTACTAGTTGTTCAAAACTTTGCCTAAATCCTTTTCACAGACACTTCCCAAATGCCAAGAAGCAGCCCTCATGTTATTAACAAGGGCATACTGCTGCGCTACTCACTATCTATCGCAGAAAAGATAGTGAGTTACATAGCCAATCAGAGAATGCCATTCAGATAGAAGGATAGTAGATTTATACTAAAAACTGATAGATCAAAGGTTGACTATTCTATGATTGATCAATATTTTGCCTAAGTTATATTTTATGATGTGCACTTTTAGCTGTGCAACATTAAGTTATGGTGCAGGGAGGTTTGGAGAGCATATAAAAGCATGCAACGTGAGAGTTGCTCAAGGCACAGTTGAGAGCAACTTTAGCTCCCTGTGTACTCTCCAAACTTCCCAAGTGCATCTACTGTATAACAATTAAATAGGTTCTTTGCAGCTGTGGTTGCGTGACTTAATTTCTTCTGAACACAATTTTCATGTAATAGACTATAAATTAAAGAATGCCAGAAATGGAAAGAGCATATCAAAAATAGCAAAATTGCTAAGTTTGAGGTCCCTGGCATGAAAGAGTAAGTTTATATGACAGTTTAACTTTTCGGAAAATTCAGCGGATTTATATGGTAAATGTTGCTGGAGAGCTGGTCTTGCCCTCCGACAACTGTTTCCATACAAATCTTCTTAATTTTTTAAAAATTCAAATCGTCATAAAATCTCGTCTTTTGAAGCCAAGGGCCTCAAACTTGGCCATTTTGCTATTTTCGACATGCATTTCCATTTCTGGCATTCTTTCAGTTATACTGTAGCTCATAATTTCGTGAAAAGTAGGTCATGTGATGGCCTAGGTGCAAAGCCCTATTAAATTTGTTAAAGCTTGGGTATATTGCAGCTTGAAAACTTTGCCAGTGAAAATTAACTTTTTTGGTAATAACCAATTGCATGAGACAGGGTTCGTACTGGTCATGGAAAACCTGGAAAGTCAAGGAGTTTATAATTTCAATTTCCAGGCCTGGAAAGTCATGGAGTTTTAGTGAGGGTCATGGAAAGTCATGGAAAAGCAATGTGCTTTCTGAGATTAAAAATGCAAAAAAGATGTGAAACTGAAGAAATAACAGACAAGTCAGAAACAGACATTAATGTCTGCAGAAATAAACACAAGCATGCATTTTAAACGTTATAATGTTGGAAAGTACTGTTAAAAAAAATACAGTCGTGTCAAATCATGATTGTTTTGGGCAATACTGTTAGAACAACCGCTTAACTTAGGTCAAGGAAAATTCAGAAAGGTCATGGAAAAGGTCTTGGAAAGTCATAGAAAAAGTTTTTAAAAGCTCAAAAGAGTATGAACCCTGTGAGAAAAAAAAAATTTCTGGTTCACATAGTTAACTTCGTGTGTGCTTTGAGTAATTGCATCTGGGCAACTTCTTGAAATCTATTAAATGTTGTCATTGATATTGCATAATTATAAGGAACCATGGAGCTGTGCTGTTTACGTTCAAATTTTTTGAGAAGATTGTAAGTTCACTTTCCACTGAGGCATACCTTCATTTTTTGTTTTTGCTTTTCTGTACTGCTCCAGTTCAGGAGTGGTTCACCGGAGGGTTGGCCTCATTCTTTTACAATAATCTGACTCATGCAAGTTTAAGATGTGAATATATAATGAAGTTGGGCTGCAGTAGTTGCTGTGTTCATTTTTGCCTGAATAATTCCTGCCAGCTAATCTCTACCCTTCAACCATGAATTACATGTACATTACTTTGTATGATAATTTTTTGATAAGTTTACAATGTAGATATTTAAATGCCCTTTTTATGCCTTATTGTTTTGTGTAACCTTCTGTCATTTTATTTGTATCAGGTAGAAACCAGTGGACTCTATAACCATGAAGAAGATGCAAATTTTAGGCAAGATGATGTTGATGATGATGATGATGATGACACTGTACTCAACACAAGAGGACTTGTCACCGAGCATAACAAGAAAAAAAAGAAGTCGGGAGGATTTCAATCAATGGGTAAGTTGTGTTTTTAACAAACCCAAAAACTTATTGGTCAACAATTCAAATTGCAGTTGCATCACCGATCACATTCATCAAAATTCATGATAGATCCTTTTCCACTGAGCTTCATTTTAAAATATCTTACGTTAAAAGTTTAGTTTGAAATTAAAAGAACTGTCTCTTCTACTGAATGAATAATGCAGGAATACCAGAGTGCAAAGAAAACAAATCTTCAGGCTTGTCCTTTGGGCAAATTTATGATGTACTAACCTGAAAATAATTCTCACTACAGGTAGCCTCCCCCTCCCCCACCCCCACACCCAACAAGCTGGTCTCTTAAAGTACCTCTGAATTTCCTCAAAAATTTTCCCAAGAAACTTCACTCACTTATCAGGCAAGTGACAGACAGAATCCACTAGCTACATGCAGCCACACTGGAAAATCCACTAGCTCCGGGCTATTGGATAGGACTCTCTGTGTGTACTGATTAGGAAGCTTTAGAAACCACAACGGTGATGCAGAGGACAACATGGATTAAAAAATGAGTTTGCATTTTACCTACGAATCTTGGGGTACCATAAAGTCATTTACTTTGATTCATTGTTTATTACTGTCACAACTATCACGAAACTAAATCTAGGACACATTGATTGAATAAATTCAAAATGAACATTTAAAAAATTAGCCATCGTGGTTCATGTTCTCCAGACAATGCAGAATTTGGTCATTTCACATTATTGTTTTGCAGAGGACAGTAAAGAAATGTACGGAGAATTATAATGCACATGTACAGCCTTTGTTCAGCTCATTAAACCTTTTGTTTAATGACGTTGCAGTTGCTATTGTGGTTTTGTTAAGCTCCCTATTATGACTCAAAAGATGTATCTTTTGCAGTCTAGACTCTAGCAAGTACCATATCGGTGCTTCTTGATTTAATCACACTTTGTCATCTATAAGGTGTATATTATCTTAATAGTCTGGTATAAAAGAGAAAAAACTTACACTGTGCATGATAGAAATGTCTTCATTGAACATGCATCTCTAGGGTTGAGCTTTCCAGTGTTCAAAGGAGTCATGAAAAAAGGTTACAGGCTTCCTACACCTATTCAAAGAAAGGCAAGTACGATATTTAAATTGCATTGTACAGAGGAATCCCGACTTTTCAAGCCTCCAAGGGAACGAAAATTGGTTCAAAAAATCGGATAGTTTGAGAAATCGAGGGTAAAATTACAGCGTTTGACTGAGGAGGGGAAACGACTTTTTGGTTCGAGTTATCGGGAGGTTCAAAAAACTGAGGGTTTGAGAAATCGGGATTCCACTGTAAATCATTAAACTATTTCAATGACATTGTGGATGGAAACAGAATTTAGTCCACCTTCTGGTTATATAGATCTGTAACAAGGGACCTCATCCAATAGTGCTACAATGAGTACAAGTTTTGAAACCAAGTATACATGCTCAAGATCATCTTGGTTCCAGTATCTCTGCTACTGATAAGAAAGTAGGAGGAGTAAGGGCTACAGAAGAGAATGAGACTGGTCTAAAATTTTAAAAAATCATATTTGTTCTTCACTTCCCACTTAACTGATCTCAGTGACACTTCACTATAAAAATGTTACCTTCCAAAATGTTTGATCATGCCTTTTGCAACTTTTTAATATACATACACTGTAATGTCAATTAATATTATATTTCGTGTATAGAATATGTTGATTTATTTTGTCTGTTCCCAAGTGGTAGGAACTATTATTAATAACAGTATCATGACTGACACTGCAGATTTGAGTCTTTGCAGCTGAAGATACTAAGCTGTACATAAAATCTTCCATAATGGACTCATTGATAAGTGGGTCTTTTGTTGAAGCAGTCTATACTAGTTGTGAAGTTACAAAATGAGCAATACATCGTAACCATGCAATGTTTTTCCATTAGACGATACCAGTGATTATGGATGGAAAAGACGTGGTAGCAATGGCTCGCACAGGTACTCTGTATGACACACTTGTTCATTTAATCAAGAACTTTTGTTATTAAAATGCATATTTACAAAAAGTCATTCCGTTGCAGCAAAGACGATGCCAACATGAAAGGGCAGTTGTATTTATTTTTAATGATGTACAGCTCAATGTTAAATACAAAGAGATGATGGTGTGTGCTTGCTTTTGCCCTTGAAACTAGTTTAAATAAGAAAACAAGAGATATATTAAAAACAGACTAACAGGCCACTGAAAATCTGTCTACTTCTGCTCTTGGTTCAAATAGAAATATTATTACAATTTTACAATTTCTTTCTAAATGTGTAAAAAAAAAATGACATGATAGTAATTGGGACCTCAGCAGCTTGACTGGCTAAGTCTATAGCTGATCTGCATTTTTTTCTTTTCTTTTTTTTTTTTGTTTCACAACTGTACAGTGCTGTAAAGCTAAAACTGGTATACATTATGCAGTGGCTAACGCATTGTAATTTTGCAACACACATTACAATTACTTTAGAATTTGAAAGCAATTTGTGGTTAATAGAGAGGGAGAATTCATTTAGTTTACACAGTCACCTAACTTGACTGAAATGCTGAAAGTAAGAGCTTAAGTGTAACAAAAGTCACAAGTATTTTTAATTTGCTAATTTATATGTTTTTCTTAATTTTAATAGGCTCTGGGAAAACAGCTGCCTTTTTGATACCAATGTTTGAAAGACTTAAAACCCATTCAGCCAAGGTCAGTAGCAATCAAAGAAATTCAAGAAAACTGAAATCTGACTTCTTGTTCAGAAGAACAGATGTTAACAGTGATGTCAAGAATGGAAGGAAACTGTCCTCTATTGCTTACACATGTATGCATCTTTATTTCAAAATTAAATATTACAACAGCACACCTGTAGGTTTAAAGTGTGAGCAATAACAAACCTTTTTTAGCTCTGATAAAGGTGGAAATAAGTCACTGCAAATTTAGAAAGACAAAAACAGATTTGCGAAAAGAAATTAATAAAATTAGTTGTTAAAAGACAAATTGCTATATTTTAAGCTTGGTAGAAAGATGAAAAACTAAAACTATTTATTTAGTGAATGACAAAAGCCACTCTGGAAAAACCTGAGTTCTCCCAATAGTAGTCAAACATACATTCAGTATGTACAGCTGTGTGACCTTCTGTATGTCAGCTTGATTCTCTACCCCCTGAGTGACAGGGGACTTGAGGGCTTAGATCTGGCTTATTTACGTTAACTACGACTGGGTTCAAAGGTGAAGAAAGTGTTAAAAAAAGTGGTGTTATCAAGCAGTTCAACTATAAAGTTGGTCAATTAGGTCTAAATATTTTCACCCAACAATGACTACACTACACTTTGCGCTGTTTATTTTTAATAAAATTAAAGCTAAATGTTCAACAGCAAAATGTATGTACCTTTAAGAAGTGAGAAAAGCATAATTTTATTTTGAGTTTGCTCAGTGAATGGGCATTATTGCTTCACAGTTGACAAGAGTAATACCATACCCTCAATATGATGGTTTAAAGTGTTTTTTAACATTGTCGTATTTTAGGTTGGTGCCCGAGGGTTGATCTTGTCACCCACACGTGAGTTAGCCCTCCAGACTCTCAAATTCACCAAAGAGGTAACAAATTGACTGCAATAATTTAACATATATTAAGTAAGGTTCACAAACTGTGTATACTATATCAACCATTCTGAGAAATGTAGCAGACAAAGTTACAGGAATTAAGCAAGAGTGTAGCAAAACCAGAAACCAACATGAGATACATGTATAAATAGCATCGCAGCTGAAATTTATTATTTATTGCAGTTGAACCTGGGGTGATAAATGATTACAAAACATTTACTATAGATGTTTTTAAGAATTTCAAGTGATAAGTTACAATCTGAAATGACCATTTCAGGTCTCCAGACACAAAGATACATTATTTTTCTGTCCTTCTATATAAAAATATTTTGTAAAACTGTAAATGTATGAGTGAATAAATTAAGTTATTGTCGTTGTTGTTTAAATTCTTAATTTTGTGTCCAACTTTCAGCTTGGTAGATTCACTGGTTTAAAGGCAGCTGTGGTGCTTGGTGGAGATAGGTGAGTATTGTTAAAATGCTGATTAGCAAGACAATACATACATACATACATACTTTATTGGAACTCCCTTTAACAGGGCTTTTCAGACAATATTTGGTATGGGAAAGGGGGTTGCTCATAATTCAATCTGTAAAATTTCTTTTACATGAAGTGTTTTTTTATTCATATATTTCATGTATATGGCAATTTACTGACAAGGGCTTCAAAACAAAACTAGTTCATTTTTAATCACGTAACTATGCAAATTAGAGTTTTTCCAATTTTCCTGATCAAAATACACATAATATTCATTTTGCCAAACTCTCAGAGTTTTCACTTACTACATGTGCGTTTTAAGTTGGAATAGATCAGATAAGAAGTGGTACGTTCCTTGTGGAAACGTCATGGACAAGGATAACTTTGTGAATTTTTTCCACTGTGTGATCTCCCCTGTTCTTATTTACTTTGATTTAATCAGCTGCTAAGTGAGAAGCACGGTGGCCTCATTGTTAGTGCACTTGACTCAGGAGTGAGCGTTGCAGGTTCAAGCCCTGGCTGGGGACATTGTGACAAACAAAACTCACTAACTCCTTAGGGAAACAACAAGTTTAACTTTCGACTGGCACGTGATCAGGTCGTGCTCCTTGAAACTGCGGCAAGTTTGTGAGCCAGCTGGCATCAAGAAAATTATTTCTTTGCAGTTCTTTTTTCTATTTTTGAGTTGGGAGGTATAACAAAACACTTAATGACTTGTCCTGCAGGAAACAATGAGTTTTGTTTTCCCCGCAACCTCAATGTTCCCCTCAGCTTTGCCTCGGGGGTCTCGGGGAAACAACACTCACTGTTTCCCTTGAGGCCAGTCATTAAGTGCTTATTAACAAACTAAGTTAACAACAAAGAGTAGCTTGTTCTTGCGGTCAGCGGTATTCGTATGGTACTGCATGCTCAGTGCTTTTCACCATTGTACTAGTGTGTTCCAGCGTGGCGGTCCCTGGAACGGTCGTTTTGGTCTATTCATTGACATCTGTCTGCCCCGCCCTCCCCACCTCCACTGTGAACTCAGCGTGACGGGTGCCTGGGAGACTATGAGGGAGCTCATGGCTGGGTTCCGGGGATTGCCAACCATGGGAGCGTTATACTGTCTAAGGGCCGGCTGGTCACAGTTGAGGCTCCCTGTTATCCCAGGCACCCATCTTCCATACGGCATGATGTAGTTGTTAACTTGGGGGTAACCCTGCAATGAACTAGCATCCCATCCATGGGGGAGTAGAAATACTCCTAGTTACTGAAACCAGGATAAGCTACTGAAACCAGGATAAGCCACTTGGCTCATATGAAGAGTTTAATCAGCTGCTAACATTAAAATATCTACCATTTGGGCTGAGTACTTGGCCCCTTCAGTTTGACAACTTCTTATTGATAAGTTCTTTGCCATCATGTAGTAACCTGAGCAACTGAAACAAAAGTGCAATGATATATGTCAGAAATTATCTAGAACCATCCAACCCTCCACCCACCCACAATGGAGTGTTTTCAGGTCTTAATGTTGGGTCACTACACCTCTAGAAATTTCAAGGGTTTGGGTCAACTGGCTATTGAATTTTTTTTTTTTACTGCAAGTTTGGCCAAAAGAGGTACATCAAGCTATTTAGCTCTCCCCAGTCCCCGTAGCATTTTTGCAACCATGCAGGAGTAAAGCTAGCATGCCATCCCAGGGTAGTTGCAAAACCCCCCCCCCCNTCCCGACATTTTATAATGACATGTTATATTCTTGATGTGTACGACGAAATCACAAGATGTGGCGAGGTACGAATTACAAGTTGGTGGCTAATTCCAGTTTTCGAGACCCAACTCCCTCAATTCCCCACCCCACCCCCCCCCCCCCCCCCCCTCACCATTACTCAAATAGGTTGCTGTCCTCCTAAGTGAAGAGAAGAACTATGAGAGTAGTAAAGTGTTTTGCTCCAAAAACACAACACAGCTGTAACTACTGTCGAACCTGCCTTACGGCTGCCCCGTTTATATGTCCACCTCGTTATTACAGCCACTTCATACTGCCCCAAACAAAAGCTCAGTCAGCCATTTTCTTAATATCATTAGAGAATCCCAGTAACACGGCCAGATTTTTGTGGCCCATTGGTGACTGGAATAACAGGGTTTGACTGTACATTGATGTACAGTTTTAGTATCATAAAAGTTCATAATGTTGTGGCTATTATTGATTTCAGTCTAGAAGGGCAGTTTGCAGCATTGCATGGAAATCCAGACATGTAAGTCCCTATACTGATAATTTATTATTACCAGTAGTTGTGATTATTACTTTGTTGTAACATCAACATTGCTTTGCATCATTATTTTAATTTGTGGTTTATTACTAACAGTTACTGTATTCATCAGTAATTTAAGTAACTTTATTTATTTATTTATTTATTTATTTATTCATTTATTCATTTATTCATTTATGTATTTATGTATTTATGTATTTATGTATTTATGTATTTATGTATTTATGTATTTATGTATTTGTGTATTTGTGTATTTATGTATTTAATATGTATTTATGTATTTATGTATTTATGTATTTATGTATTTATGTATTTATGTATTTATGTATTTATGTATTTATGTATTTATGTATTTATGTATGTATTTATTTATTCTATTTACTTATTTACTTATTTATTTGTTTATTTATTTATTTATTTATTTATTTATTTTATTTCATTTTTTTTTTACATAGTATTGTGGCCACTCCAGGACGGTTTCTTCATGTCATGATGGAAATGGACCTGAAGTTGACTGCAGTAGAATATGTTGTGTTTGATGAAGCTGACAGGTACAATGTTAGGAAAAATAAATATGGGTTATTGACTAAGCTTGTTCAGTTAAGATGGCTGGATATTGGTCAAGTTCTGTTTTTTGCATGTTTATGGACCTCCACTCCGTCTCGGTCCATAAACTCGCAAAAAAAGAACGAGGCCAATATCCAGCCATCTTGACCGAACAAGCTAGGTCAATAAAGGATTTATTATGTGGCTCTTGGGGAAATTTTTCTTGCAGGACACGGCGGGTAGTCCGGAGCGGGCAAGATAGGTCCATCTTGCCTGCTCACGTAGCCAATCACAGTGCAGGATTTGATTCATCTTGCCCACCCACGGAGGTAGCCATGTAATAAAAGTCAAATCCTGGCTTACAGACATTGATTCCTCCATTGTTACTACAGAATAGTGGCCAGCTGATCTCTAGTTCTCAAAACCATTAAAGTCATCAAGTTTAACAATGGAAATCATAACGGCAACAGTGTTTGGATATCTGCATAGATTTGTAGGGTTTATTTCTCTGTTTTCTCCTTAGTTTTAGTTTTGATTGAGAAGATATAAGCAAACACTCAAGACAGTGTTTGACCACATTTCCAAACACCTCAAAGTTACATGGAATTGCATGGAGATTTAGGCTTAGATAGTCGAAGTTCATCTGAAGTAACAGTGATTAATGAGATTGGCTCCTTGATCAAGTAACAATTTTCTTTTTTTTTTTTTTGCAGGCTCTTTGAGATGGGGTTTGCTCAGCAACTTCATGAAATTATCAATCGTCTTCCAGATTCCAGGTAAAATATTCTACACATAAGTTGACCTTTGTAAATATATTTGATTTAATTCACAGATGTTTCTTTTTTGGCAAAGCAATGAACAAAGCATGGTAAAATATTTAGACTTTTATTTTAGCGAATGAATTAGTACAACTTCTTTCTTTTGGCAAACATTTGAGTGCAATTTAGTGGTGTAGTTTTGCAGTGCAAAGAGCAGTAAGTGAAAAAAAAACCCGTAACAAAACAAAACAAAAACAAACAAACAAAACAAGCGTTACTTGGAGACACCAGCTACTTATTTTTCCTCTTGTTGTCGTTTGTGTTTAATCTCTAACAACCTGTAATAAAAAATGCCTGGAACAGGCTTGTGATGCAAAAGGTTCACCTTAGTCTAGCTCCTTAGTTTATCATTTCCCGAGTCTGGCTCTGTCCTTGGTGGAGCTGTTAAGCTGGCCGTACATAAGCCCAGCCTCCTGTGTTGACATAGTACTGTTTCCTTCTTTTCAGACAAACCCTTCTGTTTTCTGCAACTCTTCCAAAATTATTAGTGGATTTCACGAAAGCAGGTAATGTGAGCTGATAATTACGATAATCCTTGTAACTAAGCTGCAAGTTCTCAAGTAGTTTTCAACGACGTGCGATGTTTCAGTAATGTGGATTGATAATCATTATAACTAACACCACGCCGGATAGATTTGAAAACGCAGCTTTATTTCTACGGTTAGGCCTACCGTCCACACTAATCCGTCACGAAAACGGAGCTNTCATTATAACTAACACCACGCCGGATAGATTTGAAAACGCAGCTTTATTTCTACGGTTAGGCCTACCGTCCACACTAATCCGTCACGAAAACGGAGCTTTTCGAAAACCCTCTTCAACCCGGAGGGTTTTGAAAACGCGTTTTCAGAATGAAACCTCCGTTTTCAAATTCCTCCGACATAGTGTGAATGGGGCCTAAGCTACAAGCTCTCGTCTCGTAGAATGAAAAGAAAATGAGTTAGAACAGAATGAAGTTTTACAAGATACAGTGTATTTGTATCTTTGATAGGTTTAACTGACCCTGTCCTTATAAGGCTGGATGTTGACTCCAAACTAAGTGAGCAGTTAAGGGTAGGTCATTTTGTTGTCCCTGTTGTTTTCCCACTTTTTTGTGTGTTCAATGAGGAAAAAACATGTTTCACTTTCTGTTAAACTTCACATGATTTGTGTTAGGTATGATGTTATATCGTTACACAAGTCGTTTTCACAATTTGTTCTTTTCTTTTCAAGCTTGCTTTCTTTTCACTGAGATCAGATGACAAACCAGGTTAGTCCCAACCCTGTTTTACAGTACAGTAGCTCAATAAGTTCCCCCAATAAATTTCACACCTTTCTTTTGACATTGGTAATCATGACTTACTAAGCTGTCGATTTTCGGCGTCAACACCAAATGTCTGTGTCAGGGAGGTGTCTGTCTTAGACAGCCAGCTGGGTTTACCTGTCACCCCTTACACTTAGGCTGCTGAGATTACATATGTTAGTGTGTTCACAGACGTGCTGTTTTCTCTAACAAAGCCGAGAGCGCGAACAAAATAAAAACCCCGTTAGATTGAAAGAAAGAACACGCAAAAAGGTACTGTGTACGGAATATATTAATATTATTTTCTATGAAAGGCTTAAAAAAAAACACTGTTACAGCTACGTAAGCATCGTTTCAGTTGTATTGTTTTTGTTTCAGCTGTGTTGTTGCACATTCTTCAAAACTTGGTCAAACCATCTGAACAGACCCTTGTCTTTACGGCTACAAAGCACCATGTGGAATACTTAAAAGAGGTACACAGAACGAAAGAAATAACCCAGATACAGTTTGAAGAAAAAGGCCATATTCGTATTCTCGGTATTGGACTGGAACTAGCTTGGAATGGAGGCTGATGCGGGGGAATAACATTAAAAAGAGATTAATGTCATTTGCATTTGAAAAGACTCCCTGCATTAGCCTCAGTTTCAAGCTAGTTCCAGTCCCATACTGATAATGCGAAAATGGCCTATTATTAGTCCGTTGAGCTACAAATACTCATACATGTAACGCCTTTTTCAACGAAGATCCCCGATACCCGTGGGTACTCTCACAAAAATTGGGTGTAGATGTGCGGCGTGGCAGCGTGGCCGAGTGGTTAGGACGCCTGACTTGAAATCCGGAGGCTGCGGGTTCAGTTCCCGCTCTGACCACTAAGCTGGAGTTATTTTCTCGGTAGACCCTCGTTCAGCTCCTCAGTCATGCTTGTAAATAGCCAACTGGTCTTCCTCTCGCCAGCTGGGATTTTTAAGCCTATTATGTTTAGTTGACATATTTGTTTCTTTCGGTTCAAGTGGCATGCCTGTGAACTAGCTTGGTGTAGCTAAGTGCAGTGTCCACTATAAACAACAACATTTAAACAACGTTTTTTTTGAACAGCCCATCTCCACGACTAACTCTCTTAACCTTTTTAAAGTTACACTCAGAATTAGATGTAGTTTTTTCTCATTTTCTTGGTATATTACAGCTGCTAGAAGTCGCTGGAATAGAAAGTTCCTTTGTTTACAGCACCCTGGATCAAGCAGGTTAGTGGGAAAGCTTGAACGTTTTTGTTATTACATGCCAATAGTTCAGGGCTTGATGGTGAATGATTACCGGAGTAGCTCGTCTCCCTGGTGAATTTTTTTTAAGGATCTTTGTACATCCTTTAGAGATCTACATGCAGATCCTATTGCAGATTTGTGAGGATGAATTGAAGGATGAATAAAAAACTTTGAGGATCCACAAGATCTTAAAGATCGTCAAGAATTTTGCAGCTTGCATATTCGTAAGGTTCCTGCCACGATTCTACAAACAATGTATCTTAATTCTCGATGAAATCCTTATCAAATCCTTGGCGAACTTGAAAGACTAGCTACTGTCCACGTATAGGGCAAACGAACAAATTCCCTTTGACTTGTATTGAAAACAAGGCTTTGAAAAGGTCATTCGGACGCTCGCATTTTAATAGAGGTCATGAAAACTTCGACAATTCATTTTATTCCAAAATTCTTGGTATAGTTTGATTGTCAGTTCTATAAGCTCTAATCCGGCTGATATAGGGGTTTTGATATCTACAGTTTAAACCGGACTCGCTTGGACGCGAGACATCTCTAAATTAAAAAGATATTTGGTAACCTTTTTTTCTTTTTACAGCAAGAAAGATCAACATTGGCAAGTTTCAACACAAGAAAACGAACGTTATGGTCGTCACTGACGTGGCTGTAAGTGAAAATGTCTCGGTTATGATGCGTTTACGTGATTCTTTATTTTTTCCGACTTATTTATTTCTAACACCTTTTGAAAGGGGTGGCGGACGGGATTAATTGATAGTATGGACTTACTGCAAATCGTAACCCAACTGGTTACAAAATTACTGTTTTTTTCTTTTTTAATTAGGCGGAATTGTACTGAATGGGCCATTTCCAAGTTGCCTATTGCCTCTGTGTCAAAACGAGTCTTGGTGCGAAACCGTTCATATGAAAATGTGTTCCATCTACAGGTTCATTCTCGTGCAAATCAAACTCATTTTCATATGAAAGGTTTTACACGAGGCCTCGTTTTGAAACCGAGGCACAAGGTAACTCGGAACTGGCCTATTGATATGAAACTGTCAACAGACAAACTGTGCATGAGAGGGAGCCAATGTTGTTTTTAATATGTTTTCATCTGTACGTCGATCATTAGGCTCGTGGAATTGACATCCCGATGCTGGATAACGTGATCAATTACAACTTTCCAGCCAAACCAAAGCTTTTTATTCATCGAGTAGGTGAGTCACTCAAGACTGATTTGTATTCCATGGCATTTAGTAAACACCTGTGTGGTAATGATGCGATTCAGGGAACTCTATCCAGCTAATTTTCCACCCCTCTCAAACAAAATAGACGCGCCAGTGGAATCAACGAGCTGTTTGTAACAGAGTTCCTACATTCCAATAGACACTATATGCATAGCTTACTTAATTTCAAACGAAGTGATAGCATAGCGCCCAACTAGCCTCTCGTCAGCGCCTATGGAGTTATTGGCGGGGTGGGNGGGGGGGGGAGCGGTTTAACAAATATGGCAGAACGGAATGCCACATTTGTTACTTTTGATACCCCTCCTAGTTTATTCCACGTAGCTTGGAGGCCAACATCCTTTTTCAAAGTGAGCTATGTGTTTCATTCTCTAGATCAGTGTATCAAGTTTAGTTTTGAGTCCACAAACCACTAGTTCGAGTAAACACCGTCTCTTGAGCTCCGTTCTATTTTAACGAAAGACTGTTACGCCCTTGTTTTTCCCAGGTCGGGTTGCAAGAGCTGGTCGCAGTGGAACGGCTTATTCTCTCGTGGGTAGTGACGAGGTATAAACGACAAAAAGTATATCTTATTTAGAGCGGTTTTTATTTGAGTGTCGAAAAGTAATTGGTTTTGCATAACTACGCTACACGCCGATTGACTTAAAAAAACTCGTGCCACCGGCTCTTACATCCAATCAGAAGTAAAGCAAAAACCAATTGTGATACTTTCACACACGTTTTCCCGCGCTTTGCGTCAGCTACACGTAATTACTTCGAGTTTTGATTGGTTCATTGGTTTTAAGAGGCCTTTGTGATTGGCTAGAGTGATTATTTTGGTTTTGGTTTTGCCCCACTCAATTGAAAACCGCTCTACATAGCTGTATCTCTGTTAGATTCGTTCAGTACCTAGGTAGCATAGCTGCTTGAACTGTGATTACTTTTGAGTCCTAAAATGAAGCTTAATACAACAGCGAGCCATTTTTATACAGCGGAGAGAGCTTCTGGCTCTGGGCTATGTTAAAGAAAAGGTGTTACATGTATGTTGTTGAACAACATTGAAAAATTACTTGAAAGCAACTTTGTGAAGAATGCAAATAATGTAACAGGAGATTTCGCGGTGCGAGTGAATTAAACTTTTTGTAATTCATCATCGCTTCCTGATGCCTTCCTGGAATTTGTCAAATACTGTTCCATGAAATGAAGCTATCACTGGTGTGTTTGGAACCCTGTTCACAGGCATACTATCAAAGCAAACAGACGTTGATGAACCGTTGCCAGAAACGCGCGTGTCTCTAAACCTGTTACTTCTTTAGAGCAAAGTCATTTCTTCTCATGTTCACTCAGCTCTCGTTATTTAACCGTTTTGTTGGTCATGTTGAAGCTTAACGCCTTTCAGCTGCTTAAACAGAGCTTTCGGGAGCCACGTGACACAGGCGTGGTTGAACGACATTGTAGACGGAATCTTTCCAACTTCCGCCCATTCCTCTTTATCCTTATCGTAAAATTCCACGATCCCATTACTGTAAATTCCACCGAACACGAAAATCTTCTTCTTTGCTTTGCCGATGGCCGCGTTAGAACGAGGAACACACAGTTCCGCGCGCAGCAAGCTCCACACATCTGTTGTGGGGTCGTACAGCTCACAGTTCTGAAGCGGGAGAAAAAAATCGCCCGTGCCTCCCACCACGAGGATTTTATTGTCCATGACAGTCGCACTTGCGAAGCAACGCGTCTCGTCCATAGATGCAACGTTTTCCCATTGGTCGTTGCTAGGGTCGTATCTCTCGACGCTATTGAGCCCCTGCTGTCCATCGTGGCCCCCGATCGCGTAAATGAGCCCGTTCAACGACAACGCACATAAGCCCCTTCTCGATGAGCGCATCGGGGCCATATCTTGCCAGGAATTGTCTATCGGCTTGTAAAGCGTCACACTACTTTCCTTGAACAAACAAATGCTATCTTCCACCGTCACGGCCGCCAAAGGAAGGCTGCTAAACGTGGACAGTACTTCCGACCAAATGTTTTTCTTCGGGTCGAATTTTTCAATCGTTAAACGGTCATCTTCCCAGCCAATGGCGTGCAGTCTGCCTTCACAAACAGTCACTGTCCTTACCTCGTTGAAGCTCGGCAATCTAGACAAATCAAACCAGGTTTTTGATGCGGGAATATAACAAGAAGCGCATCCATTCTTGCTCAATAGCACAATACCTTCCGCGACACCTCGTGGCTCGTCACGCTCTTCGTCCGGGAGAGTAAGAGCTGCTGTTACCAAACTTTTGCATTCGTGATCACGCGTCACGAACTCGTCACGGTCAATGACCTCGGTGATGAATTGAAGCGACATGGCCGACAAGCGAAGATGGCTGAAAAGTTCCGCAAAGCGATGCTCTCTTGTTTCGCTTTCACGCTTTACCCATGTCCTGATTCCGTCGAAAACCTCTTCTTCACCTCTTTGCGTTTTAATATCCAGTCTCTCGCCGCAAATGAGCGCTTTCACATCTTCGAAATCCGAAGACAAAAACTCCTCTGTTTTCCAAATGTCTCCGAGATGATTGCAAATGTATTCTGTGGCGGCCTCGTGTAACTGTTGATGGCGGTATCTCTCGGCAAAGATCTGAATCGCCAAGCAGTTTGAAGGCTTAAGATTGATCATCAAAAACTCGGCACAAGTTTCTTTTAGGCTCGGGATATCAAAATAATCGGCTATAACTAACAGTTCCTCGGCATTGTCGTCGGAAATTTCCGCTTCTCCGGTGTAAGCGTAGTTCAAAAGTTCCTCGATAATTTTCGTTTCTGGAATAAACTCTGGGAGATCGACTTTGAATTCGTCGCCTCCAGCCAACTCGCTCATAAAAGAAGCTTTGAAGACGGGACTGCTCGCAGCGAGTACAACTTTGTGAGCGGGAAGTCGAAAATTGTCCGCAACGAGAAACACATCGCAAAATGTTTGAGACTTTCTAAACGAATTCAATGTGTGAAGCATCTCCTGTCGCTGTTGATGTTTTCTTCTGTTTAGACCTGTTGTCTGTGAATCCATAGCTGCGATGTTTCCACACTCGCTGAAATTTGTCGAAAGCAATCAATTACACAAATCTGGAAGTCACACAATTTACCAAATTAGTAAAAAAGAGTCAGCGGTAGACCCAGTGAACCGTAAAATTGGCGCTGCAAAATTCACATTTTGAAATAGATTTCTCATAATTTTGTTCACATTACTATATTGTTAAAGACTTCTGGTGATTTTCAGCTATTGTTTCTGTGTTATGCTCGGAAGAAGCGAAAAGGTGAACCTTCGTGTTACATGGTCTTACATGTTCGGCAATAGACCTTTTTCGCTTGGGCGGTTTGTTTTCCTATTACAGACCAAGTGATATTCTCTAGAGAATCGTTCTTTTTATTTATTCATATGCACGCGACTATTTGAAAATTTGAAAGAAAGAATTCTCAAGAGTATCACTACATGGTCTGAAATGGGGCAACGAACCGCCCAGACTGAAAAGGTCTACGGTATTTACAAAGTTGCAATGTTAATTGTTTAACGCCATAGTCGCCATCTGCTCTTTTGTGGAAGAAATTGTTATGTAAATCAGGCCAAAGTTTTGTTTATTCACGAAGGTCAATTTAAAGTTCGACTGACATTGGCAGCCCATGATCGCATTGTGTTTTCACCGCGTTTTTTAATCTTGTTTCATTTTAGCCTAAGAGTTTGCCTCAGAAATTTTGAAGTCGCTGTCCTTGCACTGAACTTCTCTGTCTCCTGTGTTCGAATACAAAATGAATGTGCAGAAAATAATAATA